GCCAACAAGGAAAATATAACACTGTAAAACTGTCCTCCTGTTGTTTATCAATTTGCTCGAGCGGGCCCAGTAACGTCTCCATTGTGAGACTTGTTACTGTGTTTGGCATATCAAATACGTCACTGGTAGCTTGCCAGGCTTTGTGGTGAGGGCAGGATACTCTTGGTCGCTTGCCAGGCTCTTCGAAAGGGGCAGAGGACTTGAGAAGATTAATTTTCTCTTCTATCCATGTGATTCCAAAAGATATTTTTCCCCCTAAAATATCTGCTAGTCTGCTTGGTTTGCATTAAAAGCAGTTTTCTTCCTTGACATGCTCTTATTTCATGCAGTATTTGAATTATTGGAAACATTGGAACATCCACAAATGCTTGAGTTAAATAAATGAAACAGCAGAATATTCTCACCTTCAAAGAATTTTTTTTCACCTCGAAAGAATTCATGTCTAATTGATTAAGTTTAAATGGGTTACTGACTTTATCTTCTTGTAGATTCAGTGCTGTAGGAGGATATTTATGAAACTGAGTGTTTGGTGCCCATTTTGTGTGACAAGAAAATCATTGAGCACATACATTGTAAATTAATTTAAATGTTTTTTTTTAATGTGTCTCTTTCTCTAGATATTAGTGTCAGTTCTTTCTAATAAGAACAACCATAAGTCCTGGTCCAGTTTTGTTTCACAAGACATGGAGCGTCACATAGAAATCATGAGAAATAAGATGCATGTTTTTAGAGGCAAAATGTCAAGAAGAACGCTTCTTCCGATACCCACTATAGCAGGGAAAATCGACCTGGATCAGAAATTTTCAGAGATCTCGTATGTATTGATATAATATATGCAGGATATTTATATGGAAAACCAGAATTACCGTTTGTCAGCACCCATTTATATACCCATCTATAAATTTATGCATACAATTTATGTGTATAAATTTTTTGTTTTGTTTTTTGACCACACTAGGTGGCGCTCAAAGTTTCTCTTGGCACATTGCTCAGAGGTGGGTCCCTCAATGCTTTGGGATACCAGGGGTGCAGGGGTCAAACCTGGGGCCTCCCAATATGCAGAGCACGTGCGCTAGCCCTCTGAATAATCTCTCCCGCCTCTATAACTGTATATTCTATGACATAATATGTAGAAATGCTCCGAGTATGCATGTTTTAAAAAGCTGATTGTACAAAAGCAAGTTGTTATTTTATCAATTATTCTCTGAGTGAAGTAATTTTGAGAAAATATTTACTCCTTTATTTTTCTCTCTTCCTTCCTCTTTTTTCTCTTTCTTTCCTTTTTTCCCTCTCTCTTTCTTTCTGTCTGTCTGTCTGTCTTGGCGCCATACCCAATGGTGCTCAGAGCTTACACCTGGCTCTTTGCTCAGGGATCACTACTGATGGTGCACAGGGACCATGTGTGGTACCTGGGATTTGTAAGGATCAGCTACATGCAAGGCAAATGTCTTCATCTCTGTGTTATTGGTATAGTCTGAGAATATTATATTTCTTTGTTTAGCAAATGTCTTTTAATGTTCAAGACATACTAGTGACAGACAAGCAATGTCAACTCAAAATTTGGCCTTGAAAAGACTAGATCTGATTTTATACTATTTAGAAAATCAGTTGGCAGATATATATATGTATATATATATACACACACACATATGTGTGTGCATGTGTGTATGTATGTATATACACATATAAATATTAGAATCTGAATCCTGTTTTTATTTTATGAAATACCCATCTTTTAAATTATTCTCTTGGTCATTCCATGTTTGTAGGCTCAAGCCAAATGAAAGGACAATTCTCCATGCAATTGAATCAGTGGTTATTAAATGGTCACATCAAATCCAAGAAGTTGTAGAGAAAGATTCAGTGCCACCTTTGCTGAATGGTGTCCACTCAAACCCTCAAACGGAGCTGGACTTCTGGACCCAGAGGAGGGAGAATCTGTCCTGCCTTTATGACCAAGTATGTGGAAAGCCTAAGAGGTTGCTTGTGAAATAATTTAGCGAAGTCAGTTGTGAGATTTGGTCTCCAGAGTGACGATCTTTAATAATCTTAAATGTTTAACTTACCATCCTTAAATAACTCAATAATCTCTTCTATGATGTCAGAGCTTTGCCTTCTTAAATTAATAGAATTGAGCATGACTTTGCCTTTTGGAGACTATTTTGACACATTTAAGAGAATTCTCAACCACTTTGTGACATAAAAAGCGAGTGGTTCCCTGAGGAAACATAAAGATTGTAAGATGTAATTAATCTAGTCATCTGAACTGATTAGGAAAGGGGGAGAATCTTGCTTCGTGGAGACACACAGCTCTGCAAGCACTCACTTTGGGAGCACTCACTATGGGAGCACTCACTTTGGTTTCGCTGATGGATATTTACCTTTAGATTACTCAGGGCTCTAAAAAGTAGATCATTTGTTCAGATGTTCATATGTATTTTTGAGATTTTCTGAAACAGAGCAAGAAATTTTACATGGAGAATTTAATATTTTATATAGG